AAACCCACCTGACCACCTGACCTTCAAAACTTGCCTTTGGTTCAGATTCCCTTAAAAACCAGCAGGAGATAATTTTAATTAAACAAAAAAACATATTTGTCCCTTTTCTGTCTTGGCCCCATAAAATCAACTTCCACTTGCCTAAGATTCACTCCCCAGCAAACCCACCGGAGTATTCATTTCAGCAAATGGAAGAAAAGATCCACCCCAGCAAACCGATCCATCGGCCCAAGCGGCTCCACTTGGCCCCGGTGAGGCACACGCAGCGCCAGTGGTGGCACTCCACGAGCTTGCCCAGCTTGTTGGTGTCGCAGGCCGCCCACATGCAACTCACGCCTCAACCAAAACAAAACGCAGACAAAAACGCGGCGGCGGGTTGTATTCCCCTCAACTTCCTCCAGGAGTTTGATTTGATCACAAATAAACAAATAAATAAATACATGAATAATTGAATAAGGATGTCGTTTAGGGTTTATGTGTAAATATTCATATAAGCATGTTGGGCTCTCATTTTTGAGGGCCCTTGCAATGAGGCCCAAAACCCTTCAGGCGGAGGCCCTAACCTCTTCAATGGCGGGCCCAATGATGCCTAGCTCGAAGGCCTATCGTTGTCAGGAAGGGAACTTGGGGGGGGGTCTTTTGGAGGGTACCTTTTGTGGGGTTGGTTTGAAGGAGCACTTTTTGAGGCACCCTCCAAGCAGCACAAACTCAGAATGTGAAACCAAGCATCTGCACAGGTCAGAACAACACACCCTCCACGCTTCGAGGCATACTACTCCCTCTTGGAAAAAAACCTAGGCGCCCAATGTAAACCATTGCACGAATGGGGTGCACATGCAGCAGGCTGTCAGTTGTCACAAACACCCACCCCCCACCCCCTTCCTCCCCGTGGGCCTGTCTCTCGGCCGGGCTGATAGTCCACCTTGTCGCCTCAGTCAGCCGACACCCGGCTTTCGGTTCTGCTCCCTGAGGTCTCAACAAAAAAGCGCCGGATCTCGAGACAATGGTCAGGTTGAATTGAGAAGCGAGCTTCATGGGTAGGCCTTGAAGGCTATCCACAAAACAGCCAAGTTCTCCATGTGGCGGTCCGGGACAAAGTCCTAGTCGAACAACATATTGTCAAGCAGGGCTGACGTTCACTCACTGCCTAAGAAATACCTTGGACAGCTTGACTGCAGTCCTTCTGCGCTATGAGGTGAGATGGTTCAAAAGCTCGCGGCTCTCTTGACTGCCTGCACCCCAGAAAAGACCTGTCGCGTTTTGTTCCTTTCCTCCCGTTTTGGTCTGCCTAGAGTCTCCATGACCCTTTAAAAATGGGTCATTGACCCCATTATTTTGGGTAATGACCCCATTTTTTAAGGGTCATGGAGACTCCAGGTGGACATCCCTTGGCTTCTGCCTGTCCATCAAAAACTGCAGCTGCCCCCCCCCCTCCCATCTCTGCCATAGGCGGGGACATAGATGGCCCTGGTAGATGATGAAACCACCAGGTAAACCAGGAATCGCCATCGATTTTTCGACCAAACCCACCAAAAAATGGACACCTACGAGCTCTGCTTCCTCCAGTAGAGACTCGTTAGAATAAGGGTACCCACTTTTGTCAGGACGCCTATTTAGTAGGAATACCCTCCCAACCAAAAAAAGAGAGGGACCACAAAGGGCACCTAATTAGCTGGGGGACCTATGATCTCTGGCTCCACTCATTGCTGGTTTTCCGTGGTATTCTTCACCACGAAACCGCAAAATCATAGCTTTGAACCATGGAGTACTGAGATACCCAGCAACCCCCCCCCCACCGCTGCTTTTCAAATCCGGCCGAAAAGCTGGCATTGCCCCGCGAGGCGTTGGCCCGCATGTGGAGCAACCGAAGCGCGCACTCTTCATCCGTGCACACGTCGTCCTGCGCGAATCGACGACCCATTTCCTCGGTTGCTTTCCTTGCACTTGGTTAAGACAGATAGAAAAAAACAGAAAGTATTTCCAGGAGTGATAGATTCCCTTGAAAACCAAAAGAGGAATATAAAAACATAGTCTTAAGCAAATGGAAGTGTCCGCTCCCCGGCTAAAGTGAATAACTTTTAGTGGTTTCATGGGAAAGCCACTAGTTTCTTTCAAAAAGTTGCGAATGCTCATGAACATGTCTTGGACCCATCAGGACACCAAAATTCGCGGAGAAGATGGTCCACACCATTTGTGGTTGACGTTTGGTGTTCCTTCAAAATCCACCAGGCAGGTCTCCCGTCCGAGGAACCCCGGCACCCGGGACCCACAGCTGTCCTTCTTTGTTCTTTCCGCTTCAAATGGGTGGGCAGGGGAACTCGAAAGGTGAAAGTAATTGTCCCCCCCCCCCAACAAAAAAAGAAAAAAACATGAAAATGAACATATAAAACAAAAAAGGAAGAAAACAAAAACGGGCGCCCGCAACCAATGCGTTCCTTCCAAACGGAAAAAGAACGACGCGCCACCACTTCCGCCGGAGATGTCCGCTCCTTGTCCAGTGCCGCGCTTTCGTCGTAGCAAGCGGCGGGTGCCAAAAGCGCCAGAGGCAGAAGCCATGTCCGGACCATCCCTCGCGTGTCGTTTTGAAGGAAAATCAGATGTGGCCACTCACCCACCCACCCACCCATCCACTCACCCACCCACCCACCCACCCACTCACCCACCCACCCACCCACCCACCCACCCACCCACCCACCCACCAACCCACCAACCCACCCCCCAAAAACCCAATCACCTTGCCCAACCCATAGGTTCTCTCAGACCTTTGCCAGCCGTGTTTTGTGTCAGCTTCCCTCCTTTTGTCTTTTGTGACCGATGGTTTGGACGTTGGGTACCTTCCCCACTTGAAAAGGAAGTGGGGTTCAAACCCCCAAACCACCAATCCCAGCCAACAACTAAGGGTTACCTGACCCCTGTAAACCCTGTAAACAAGGAGTTGCTTGTGCTTTTTTAGTGCTGGAACCTTTTGCTGGGTTGGCGACAACAAAAAAAGAAGGAAAAACCAACCGTCTCAATCTCTTCAGGCATGTCACCGTCTCGAAAGCCCCATCTTGGACCCGACGGGTAAAATCGGCCCAACCCCAGTTCGCAAAAAGAAGAAGGACAAAAACCGTCGTGCATCTCGAGGCTTGGTGCTGAAGGCGTCCACCGGTCTACCTAGAGTCTCCATGACCCTTTAAGAATGGGTCATTGACCAACCATTATTTTGGGTGATGACCCCATTTTTTAAGGGTCATGGAGACTCCAGGTACCCAAACCCAAAAAAAACAAGAGGAGCGTCTTGCCGCGGGACCTGCACCAACTGCTTGCTCAAGAGCACGCTGCTTTGCGAACCACAAATCTAGGGGTTGTTTCCCCATTCTGCTCAACCATCGTTCTTTTCGAAAACCAGATCCGTTTTCCCCGAGTTTCTGGAGCGGTTTTCTAGAAAGATCCGGATCCCTGGAAAGAATGGGGGAGGTACCCCTAGAACAAAGGACCGTCTGGCCGCTCGCTGATGGGCAAGGGACACGCCTCTTAGCCGTTGGATCTTCAGCTCCAGGTTGGATCGCTTCGGTTTTAGGTGGCGATTCCCAAGCCGGCAAAGCGACGCAAACCACCGATTCAGGGTTCTTTGACTCACTTCCGATCTTGGCAACCAAATCGTGGTTCACCACTAAAATGGTCTTTACAAAAAGGAAGAGTCAAACCAATGCAAACCAGCAATTAAGGCCCTGAGCGTCCAAGACTTCTCCTTTTTTTGGCCCAGGCCTTGAATTGTTCCAGAGGCAAAGCAAGGCAGTTGAGTGAAGGGTTCTTTGATAGGATTTTCAAGGGCTTTCCCTTGAACAGAGCTGCTCTTTGTACAACAGAGTCCCTTCAAGGATCTGTTACATGGCTATGGCTCAAAAAAACCGGTACCAAAATGGAACCCTGGAAAGTCGAAACATGGACCAAGAACCTGCGTAACCCCTCCTGATTAATTTTGAGCCACACCCACATGTTTGGGGCCAAACAACTTCCCCCCTTCCCCCCTTTCCCTCCCGATCGCCTGCGAACAACGCTGTCGATAAGGAAAAAGGCGGCGGGCAACTGAACCGCACTGGCTGCGGATACGTCGCCGCGGATCAGAGCAGTGCTCAGTGTAGCACCTCAAACTGCCACACACCCCATACATGATGTACATTTACAAAGGTACACCGAGTAGGCTTTGTAACGCAAACAGAGTGCTCAGCATGAAGAAGACCTGTCATGCGCAAATCCGCCGCACGCGGCGCTTTCATCTCACTCAACTTCCTCTGAACGTCTACAACTTCCTGCGGTCGATTCTCCGACTCTCAACTGTCACCTTTGTCACCTTGTGAAAACATAGCCCACAACCCGTGCCATGCGGATTTATTTGAAAATAGGGAACCTCGGTTTGGTTAGTGTCCCTTTATTCGGGCAGACATGGCTCAGTGTGGTTGGTCTTCCTTTTGGTCTCTGTCTTGAAACCCTCACAGGTTCAGGGGTGTCCTCCAACCGTGCGAACGCGTACTCAGGTAACCCCTTCTTGGTCGTTTGGATTGGGCAATGGGATTTGTTCTTCCGCGCTTGTAGAGGGTACATGGGCAACCACCCCAATCCACCACCAGGTTCCAAAACGGCACTTGGGGAGCTGAGGCAAAGCACAGAGACTGGCCACTTCTGGAGGTCGCATTTTGCCGCTGAAGAGTTGGGTTTCCAAGACCTCCAGTAACCGGATTTCTCTGGATTGCGGCTGGGTTTCTATGGCCAAAGAAAATGGCTTGATGCCAGACAAAAACGCAAAGGAACCTCCCAGGTTTCAGAGGAGCGCAAGGGAACCACTGCAACCTCAAGAAAGTAGTATGCAAAAAGGAACGCTGTGATTACCTTGGTTTTCCCCAGGTTTCAAGGTTCCAGATCACATCTCCTCAGTTCTCCCAATCCGACCCACCGCACCCACCCCTCCCTCGCCCGAAAAAAAGAGGAGAAAAGCCTCAAGCGCGCCGGAGCCCGGCCAAGGTCCACCAACAGGAGCTCACGATGCTGGTGAAGGGGCTCAGCTCCAAGTACCCGTCCGGCCTCGCTCGCGTTGCGAGGCCAACGAAGAAAAAAAAAAGAAAGGAAAAAAGCGCGGCCGAGAACATGCACGCGCGTTTAAAAAAAGAAAGGAAAAAAACGCGCGAGAACAGAACGCGACAAAAAGAGAAGACTGCGGAAAGACGTGACGCTTTGGCGCTTCGAGTGGGGCGGGCCCTTGGCCCGGTTGGTGCAGTTGAAGTTGAACTGAGAAGAACGAAAATCCGTGCGAGATGGTGCTGGACGATTGAATGAAGCTTAATGCTGTGCACCTGTCCTCAAGAAGTTTGTTTTTCTTTCTCAAGTCCCGACCTACAATATTGAGCTGAAGGTTGAAAGCTTCGCAGCACACGAGCCCCAACAAGGGAGAACGGAAGCGGCCGCATGCGCCTGTGAATGGACAAATTCCACTGTCGATCCACCCTGATATTGCCAGACATGTGACATGTCATGTGTCCAAACCAGTAGACTACCCAAACAAGACTCAGGAAGAATCGGTCGCAAGCGGACGGAATGGCAACTGCACTAGACATATATATATATACACACTCCTTCAGACTAACATGGAAGTTCCCAGAAGGCCACAGGATTCCGTTTGGGTGCTTTCATGGAATCGCCTGGGGGTATGGAAACACACCTCGCCGTAGACTACCCACCAATAAAAATCTCCGCGCTCCAAGACCCAACTCACTGTGCGCACTTCAGGGCGCGGGCTGACTCCTGAAATGAATGTCCTTGCATCCCGCACGGAAAATGCTGGCGAGCCAGTCAAGAACTGGCCCTTTCCAAAGGAGAAGTATCCATGTGGTATAACTGCACTATTCAAATCAGCACCCTTTCGCGGGCTGAGCCGGGCGTGCCGGCCTTCTACGAAACCCCCTTAAAGCTTCGGAGGCCCGAATTTCTTTCGGATTGCCCTTACACCCAACATGATTAGAGTTAGGCCCAGTTATAGAATGTATATTTTACTGGTTGCTTCACTTTGAGTCACTGGTAACATGTAAAATGTATCCTAAGTCCACCTTACCCCCAAGGGCACCCCAAGGACGACACCCCGCACCCCGAGCCCCACCACCCCCAGCCCAGCCACCCGGCCCCCAGCCGTCATGACGTGCAGGACCGAGGCGCAGCGAGCGCAGGAAGACGCCCCCGGCTCTCTCAGCTTCGTGAACCACCTCGGTCGGCCCCTCGCCCACCCCCCTGCCCCCATCCCTCCTATGGACACCTGAAATCCACGGAACCCGCCCCCAGAAGCGGCCAGTCTCTGGGTTTGCCTCAGCTTCCCTCTGGTTTGGAGCTCGCTGGTTTGGAACTCGGTGGTTTGGAAGGGAGGTTTCCCTGTGCGTCGGCGGGAGGTTCAAACCCCGTGACCACCGATCCACATCACCAATTGATATTGTAGAGTGATTCTTTTTTTTGTGGCACCCTTCTGGATGCTGTACAAGTGAGTGAACAAACACCAACCATTTGCACCCCCGGCTTTAGGAAACACACACACACACACACTATAATATAGATATATATATATATATTATGCTACCCCTCCCCCCCCCAAATGTCGACCTTTTTGTTGGTTTCAATAGTATGTGCGGTGTTCTATGTTGTGTTGTCCTTTGGGGAAAGCAGCAAAAAAAGGTGCCTTGTTTAAACATATTTAGATTCGTTAGAAACTGGGAAAGCCTCAGAGGCCCGCTTCAGAATCGAATTTGACATAAGAATGCCAATTAAGAATGTTATTTTGACAAACACCTACTTAAATTATCGTTGAAACTAGACACTCTACTAGAAATATGTGCTTATTAAATTCCATTTAATGTCTGATCAAAAAATACAACTAGAACATGAGTTAAGTTCCAAATTCAATTTGACTTTGAAAAGGGCCCACCTACATAGATTATCTTTAAACTAGAAAACGTACTAGCATTACGTCCGCTGAAATTTTATAGAGAATTGAAGAATACGCTCCTAGAAAAAGAGACCCCCTTGAGAATCTAATTTGAACAAATCAAAATTTTACTTTGAAACGCTTTCACTTTTATTGTTTGATCAGAAGTTAAATATATTTTGATAATGACATAATTCTAGGAGAGTGTCTGGTTTTTAAGAATAACTAAGATAGGCTTGTTTCAAAAGAAGGGGTTCTCTTTAAACTGGAACATCCTACTAGGGTTATTTCCTTATTAAGTGCAAAAGAAGAAAAGGAGACCGCCTTTAAAGTCTATTTTGACATAAACGTTCCAACTGAAATAGTCTTTGAACAGGAGACCCTATTTGAGTTACTTTCTCAGAACTCATGGGTACTTGCGGTGCTTTCCGGGCTTTGGGAAAGCCGCGAAAAGGGGCTGTGATGTCCAAAGACGATCTGCAAGCCTCAGGTTAAAGACTTTTTCCAGCGAGTCTTGAAGCCAGGACCGAAGGAAATTCTAGTCGGTTTGGACCTTTCTCAGAGGAAAGCCCCCCTCGATTTTCCCCCCCAGAAGGCCTACAACCGTTCAATCCGTTTTAACCGTTTCAGCCCTTTCTCAGAGGAAAGGTCCCCCCGTCCCCCCCACCCCCCTACCTTCCAAAGGGCCCCAAAACCGTTTAAACCGTTTTAACCCTTTCTCCCTTTCTCAGAGGAAAGCCCCCTTCCAGAGTTCTGACCAAAACAGCTTTTAAACCGTTTAAACCCTCTCTCAAATGAAAGACCGTTTGAACGGTGTTGGGTCCAAACCTTTCCTCTGACCAGGTTTCCAGGAGTCATTGGACTGCGAAGATTAATTTTGATGGTTTGGACTGAATTTGGGGATAGCCCTACAGGGTCAATGGGAAGCCACGAATCCAAACCACTCATCCAAGCCACTTAGAAGGGAAGCCATATGCTTCCATTTGCTTATCATAGAAACCAGCTACAGGAAATTCTACAGGAAGTTGGCCAAATACTAACAAAAATCAAGGATGTCCTATAGAATTTCCTGTAGTTGGTTTCTTGGAGAAACATTTCTTTCTTTTATTTCTACACTGGACATATCTTCTCACATTCTTGCTGGTGCTCAGTAGGGAATGAGGGAATGAATCTGGATATTCCCTTAAAGGAAGCCAAATCAGGGGGGGATCTTTTTTCGGGGTCATTCCATTTCTCATTCCCTGCCTATCGCACCAGCATTTTTTTCCAACCCGCAAATGGCAGCTACTGGCGTTTTTGTGCAGGGGTCTTAGCCAAATGGCTCAAAGAGCTAGAACCAGCGTAGCCAGTTGCAAATGGACGATGGAACATAGGCGTCCTTTTGATCGGTTAGTTTGGTTAAAAATAGATGGGTTCCACTGGTTTAGATGGGTTTAATGTTCCATTCACCAGGAAAACCCATCGATTTTTTAACCAAAAGGTCACCTCTGCGATGGAAGCTGCTACCGCAATGGAGGACACCCTGGAACAAACGCCAAGCCGCAACCAACCAAATCAAAGAGGTTTGCAACAAGCCAGAGACTCTGAAACACAACCTGCAAACAAACCAACCTGCAAAAACCATCTGACGCCAGGCGACGCAACTCACCCCTCAACATGCAGAACTAAAACCAACATCTAAAGACAAGAGCCTACAGGCATGGTTGCGGAAAAAGAAACACCAATTCTGCAACACCCACATAGACCATCCTATGACTATGTGATTTGAAAAAGGGATTCCTTTTTTGTGATGGTACAGAACATGTCCGCAAAAAGATGAGGAGAAACCGAACTCCCCACCATGTCATACTGTGATGGACGAAATCCGTTTGCACCACTTTTGAAACCACGGTTGACACCAAAGCGCTTGTTGGTATTTACGTTCAACGAAACGAGCATCATTCCGTTCGGATTCTGAGCGGTGGTGCGAGAAGAATCCGAGCTGGGTTTCGATTTCAGCCGTCATTTACGGGGAAAAAGCATCCTTCCAGGGACTCTTAGGCGGTGAGAGGAAAAAGATCATCGCGGCCTCCTTGCCATGTCCGGAAAGCCTGCAGACTGGGGCGGGTTCTTGGGCCCGGGCCGCCTGGAAGTTGACGGTCCGGAAGTTCCGCTGCTCTAGCTGCAGAACCACGGGCCTTGGGTCGAGGTTTTTTTTTTGGGGGGGGGGGTAGGAGGGCTGAGGGCTGTGGGGGGGATTTCAGGGGTGGGGCTGGTTTGGGGGTTGGGTTTGGGTTTGGGGCGGACGATTTCGGCCCCAGAAGGAGATTCCTCCAAAATGAACCCAACTGAGGACCCCGGAAACAACATGGACCCTTCTTGCGGTGCCAGGGCCATGCGTTTCAAGCAAGTGCCCAACTTGACTGTTGGTTCTAAAGTTGCGTCTACTAGCCACCGAGTCTCATGTGCGGCATTTCAGGAGCAAAAAAAAGGTGCCGACGAGCAGCGCTACTGCAAGAGTACCTCTGACGACCCTTGCCATACCCGCTCGCGATGTTTTTTTTGTTCACGCCTAGAGGTTCCGTCTGGTGCTGAAGCCTCCCGGACTTGAACCGGGCGGCTTGGGGCACTAAAACTGGTTGCTCTCACTTCTTGAGTTGGACTTTGAGCTTTCTGGAAATACCAGTTTAGTGGCACATAACAAGTTCAGACTTTTTTTGGCTAGTCCAATCAGGAAGTGAGTGGTTGGTAGGGGAAGTTCAACTCACTTGCCCAAAAGTTTGGACCTTGTGACCTTTCGATTTCCTGATTTGGTCCGTTTTTTGAATCGAGGTTCCACAGGGTCCTTCTACTTCTGGGTCCTTTGTGCAGCTGAGCAACAGGGTTTCCTTCATTTCCCTTCCATTTTAGCTTGCCTCATCAGCTTTTTTGCAACCATGATAGTTTGATCCTGGTCTGGGGTGGTACAACTTGATTGTTTTTTGCTTCCTTTGTTTCTTTCTTTCCTTTTCTCCGGGTTCTCTGAGGCGCGCACGCGGGATACCAGCTCGCCCGCTCCACAACGTACCTCAGGCACTTGAAAAATCAATGCGAATTACAATGAGATGCCAAGCAAATTGCTGCAATGGCACACGGGAGGCAAACAGTCTTGTCACCCATGGGAAAAGTGCACCCTCACCAGCCCTTGCTGCTCACGACACAAGAAGCTAGTCAACGGGAAGGGCGGGCGTACTTGCCTCTTCTTTGCCTGATGCCACCCTTGATTCCTGGTCAGCTTGCCGCAACCAGAGCTCAAAATGACTCTCCCCTAAGTGGTCCTAAGATGGTGTGCCATCGGCGGCCTTCACAGCGCAGGCAACAGCAAAACGTCCCGCGGTTGGGTTCTGGCCCCAAAGAAGAACCTCCTTGGACCCGCCTTTCGTCGCGCTTTTTTGGGCAACCAGCCCCCAACACCTCCCTCCCCTAAAGAAAAAAGAACACACATGCGCCTGATCCACAATTCGCCTCAACATTCGCCTACAGGCGGTACTAGAAAAGGCCTCGAATTCCCACAATGTTTCTCTTGTCGCTGAGTTCGGTCTTCCCTGCCCAAAAGTGTTCTAAGTAGAGCCTGCCTTTTTTTTTGGGGGGGGCTCCCTCCAAAAGTGGTCTGAAGCCCCACTAAGGGACGCCCCCCGATCAAATTTAACCAGACCATCCAGACCTAGTTAGATCCGGGGTCGCTTCTCAGCCGAAAGGCATCAGCGAGCTGAAGACAATGAGGGCGAACAGCAGCAGCGCCTGGGCACTGCGCAGGTGCCAGGGCCATAGATACAGCCAGGATTTGGCGACTGGTTGTCTCTGTTTGGCATATTTGGTCTTGAACAGGGCTGACTGGATTTCCCCCTTCGAATCTTGCAGTTTACTGTTGGGTTCTGCTTCTGGAGGTCAAACAAACGGGGAAACATCGAGAAAATGGGCTCTTCCCTGGGCCTTCTCGAGTGGCATTGGGTTGTGCTTCCAACTCACGTCGGGAAACGCCCGACACGGCCTTCGAGCTTCTGTGAGCCGGACACCGACCCCATGGACAATCTGTCGTCTTCCCCGAGTCATGGAGTGAGACTGGGAGTTCCCAACAAGCTCAGCGACTTTTACTCCCAGCTGCGGGGATCCGCAGTTCTAGGGATACCTTCCATTTCCATCCTAAACCCAGGGATCCGAATCTTTCTGGAAAACCTCCAGAAGCCCGGGGAAAAACGGATCCGGTTGTTGGAAAGAACGATGGTTGAGAAGAATGGACCAGGAATCAACCCCTAGACGATTTGGTGGCTTACAGCTCTCCTCTAAAAGGCTGGTTTGGAGCCCGTCACCTGCACAACCCTTGGCAGGCAAAAACCAAAGAGAACTGACTCCTTTTTGCAGCCCCCTACCCAAAAAAATGAGCAGAACCAAAAAAACAAAGAGCCAAACCAACTTCATCCAAGAACAGTGAAGCTGCCTTCGTGGCCCAAAAATACATTTTTTGTTCATCAGAAGCACCTAGTAAGTCCGATGGTGTCCTGTCACCGAGTCGTGGGGAAAACCATCCATGGTGAAAGGGTTGGTGTTTAGGATCAGGGTTTGGGCTTGGGGGAGGGTGGCTTCGGGGTGATTTCCACCATCCAAGCAATTGGGAAAAACATCAGAAAACCTTCTCGGGAACCCAATTGCAGCCAGGGTCAGGCCGCATCATTCTCCCCCAAAAGCATCGCGCCCTTCGCTCCCTCCCCGGCCCGGCGACTTCGCTGGGCTGACGGACCAAGGTGATGGCAAAGGCGGGCGAGGCCTTTCGGAGCGAGGGCCCATTTTTTTTTGGGGATTTTATAGCTCTTTTCTCGTCAAAACACCAGTCATCGTTCCACTCGGTTTTGCTCCCCGAACAGCAGCTGACAATCCAAGTGCATGGACAACCCAGCCATCCGGAACCAGCAACTATCTTCCAGGTCCCAAAAACAATATTCGAGAACCCCTCGAAATCGTCACGTCACAACGGAGGGAAACGAAAAAACAACTAAAACTTGGAGGATTGGTTTGACCATGATCCAACCTCAACCTGTTTGACAATGATCCAACCCAACCTGTTTGACCATGAGTCACCTTTTGGTGCCCTCAGCCGAAAGCTATGGGTCTGATTGATGGTTTGGATTGGTGGTTTGGAGGTTAGAGAGTGGCTCCCATCTCCTTTCTACACAAGCCGGAGGTCGAATCTAAATTGAAACCAATCTAAACCACCAAATAGATGCTTACTACCTTTTCTGGATGGTGTCCTTTCCCCACCCCCCCCAAAAAAAACAACACGACTGAAGGGCCATCCCCAAAAAGAAAAAGACGGAAGGCCGCCGCCCCACCGCCCGAGTCATTTCTCGGAAAGAAGGCCTGCATGAAGACGTTGGCCAGCAGGTGCTGGGCGTCACTCAGCTGGCCCAGGTCCGAGTTCAGGAGCTGCACCCTAAAGCCGCGAGGGGTCGGTCTGTTGGTGTGCGTGTTTTGGTGCCATGCCGCAGCCACGCCGAATTTTCTAGGGGTTGATTCCCCATTCTGTTCAACAATTGTTCTTTTCAAAAACCAGCTGTTTCCCTGGGTTTTTGATGGTTTCCTGAAAAGAAGGATCCCTGGAAAGAATGGGGAAGGTATCCCTAGAGTTGTTTTCTTGTTTGTTTTGTCAGGGCCCTGAATCGACTTCCCCCTCTCTGGTGGCTGAATCAGCTCCCCTCTGAAAGGCTGGTTTGGAGCGCGGTGGTTTGGCGTTCCGGGACGGAACTTCTCATTTACTCTCTAGAAGAAGGGGATGTTTTGAACCCCAACCACCGAATCCAAACCACCAAGTGGGGGGGTTACATGGCCATGGGTCAAAATCCCGTACCCCCAGTGAACATCCCAATCCGCACGAATAAAGTAGACTAGAATGGGTGGTGCGCCTACCCCAAAATAGTACCATTGGTTTTGAACCATGGCCACATGTCTCAATGTGTTTTTCTTTGGGAGACCCAAGAAAGCGCTCATTTTTTGCGCCAAGATTTGTTTCTCGCCACAGAGCCGGACGGCGAGAAGCGAAAGGGACAACGATCCGTGAGGTTTGTGACAACATATCCAGTCTAGTTGGGTGGCTCGCCCCTTTTTGGCGGCCTCTTTTTAGAGGTACCCGCTTTTTGGTGGTTTTAAAGGGAAACCAAGAGGAGAACCCTTGTCATTAAACCCAGAGTTGCGGAGAACAACTTTCAGTTTTCCTTGTAAGACTCACGGGTACATGACTGTTTCTGGGGTCTCCTTCAAAACAGAGTTCTGGGGATTTGGGGGAGAAATGAAACACACTCCCAAAAAGAAGGAAAAGGAACACACACCCACACAGACACACAGAAAGTAGTTGTTTTTTTTGTTTTCTGTATTTCTGTACCTCCAGAAGTAGCGGGTCAAAATTTGTGACCCGTCCACTCATTCCATGAGTCTTTGACGGAGCCGTGGCCACGTTGCAAGGAGCAATTAGCCGCACTGAACCAGAACGGGCTGTGTCCCCAAAATCCAGGAACCGGCGTCCCCAAGACCTGGGTGTCCCAACAAACACAAAAACCCAAGGCAGTCCGAAGCGCGCGAAGTGCACCTACGCTTTGCAACATGTCCGGCTGTCCACCCTTCGGAGTCGAGCTGCAGCTTAAAGATGCGGCTCACCCGCAAGAGCCGGAAGAGTCTCAGCCTCAGATGGACATGTCGCGACTGAAGCGACTCCAAGCACCCAGGAGATGGACATGGCTCCTAATTCAACTTATCGCGGCCTTAGGCCGGCGCGAGTTGCCAAGTATCCTTGAACATGTAGGTCCTCCAGTGGAGAGCTTAGAATAAGGGTACCTTTTCTTTTGTTTTTTCTGTAGTCTATTTTAGTAGGGGAACCCTCCCCAAAAAAAGGGGGAAGGAAGCTTATGCCTGCCAAACAAGCCCAAAGGGCATCTCCCAGCTCAGAGTTTTGGTGCTTTCGCCCCCAAACATCGCGCCTGTGTTTGCATTGCTTGTCTTTTGTGTGGCCTTTGACTTTCTCCAGATATGAGTACTCTTTGCCTGATGCTACATTGTTACCCCCCAATCAAAAAAATAAAACACATCCCGGGGAGCGCAGGAAGTGGCAGTCGGTGTCTTCCAAATAGAGGGCTGTAACCCAACCAATCAAAGGACATTTCCCTCCAAATCCATTGGTGGGAGGTCACTCGTGTAATGCCAAGGTGGATCATCTTTGTGTCTACTTTGAGAAGAGTTGCTTTTGTTGTGCGTGTCTGTGTGTGATTCACAGAAAGTACCTGGGTATTCGACAAACTTAGCTAGGTCCTCCAGTAGAGAGGTTAGAATAAGGGTACCAATTCTTTTTTTCTGTAGTCTATTTTAGTCGGGGAACCCTCCCCAAAACACGGGTAAAGGGGCACTACTAGGGGACCTAGTTAGTATGTTGTTGGTAACCTCGTTGTTTTTGGCGACGAGCATCCAAGTACACAGAAAATCTCGTCCAGAAACTCTGATTCATATGGGCGGCTCGTCTTTGTTCGGGATTTGGAGCCCCCCAATTTGGGGGGTTGCCTTTTGGCATCCTTTTAAAGCCAACCAAGAGGGGGGTCCCAAAAAAGGCAGACCCAGATTCTGGTTCATATTTCCTCTAAATGAATTAAGACCGTCTAAAATTCCTCAATAAGTCTGTGGTCTAAACCCCAACTTTCTATCGGTTCAACCATTGTTCTTCTCAAAAACCAGATCCATTTTCCCCGCGGTTTCTAGCTAGGTCCTCCAGTAGAGAGGTTAGAATAAGGGTAGCCTTTTCCTCTAGTCTATTGTAGTAGGGGAACCCGCCCAACCAAAAAAGGGGTGAGAAGTTGGCACCTAGCTGGGGGACCTAGCTAGAAAGACTTGCCACCGGCCACCAAAAAACAACAAATTCTCCGTGCCGAGCTGTGGGCCAAATGAAGTTGCCGTCCGCGCTGGTGGCAAACCACACCTCCACCCAGTAGGGCCTTCGGCGTGAGGTTTCGGAACCGTCCCGTGTTCGTTCGACGCGACGGTTTGAGGAATTGCGCATGATCTGCCTTTGATATTCTGCGTCTTTGCCGTTCCGCTTCGGAAAATAGATATGTATATATATATATATATACATATGTATATATATATATGTATATATAAATGTATAGAAATATATACATATATATGTATATGTATGCACGGCCGTATGTATGGCCCGGTTATTCATTATCTATTGAGTCATTGATTTGTGCCCTTGCTTCATCGGCTACTTATCTCTTCATGTGCGTGACATAGTCCTATACTTTTGTCTATAGTTTCCCTATCAACAAAACCTATCCTGAGGTCTATCTAGATATCCAACTGCATATTTCTATGAAACGTGTGAGCCATACGGCCACAGTATTTGTTTGGCCGAGTGGTGAGAAACCGCAAACCTCAGATTTGATCAGTTGATCATCGAATGCTCTTACATAGGCATCCATGCATTGCGTGCCAAAATGAGCTCGGCAAAGCCAGCCGGGTGGTTGGATGCCTTTGTGCCAAAGACACGGGCCTGAACTAACGTTAACCCTGGATTAAGCAGAACTCCTGGTTGATTTTGATCGGCGCCCCCTTTCAGTGGGGATTCAGCCCCACCTTTTATAGGACGGTTCCTACTTAGATCCGAGGTCCCATCAGCCGCCATCCAGGTTTGGTGAGGGCCCCTTGCCATCCCCCTCAAATGACAGCCAACCCAAGCAAGGAACCATCACTCTGCTACATTTGGCTTTAGGATGCCCCTGCAAGTATTTGCTTTTTGCAAGCCATCTTCGGCTGAGCATAGAAGGAAAACAAACAAAAACACGGACACTTCGCTCATGTTCATCCCCCCCAAACAAAATTACACCGGCATAGGCAAATAGCATGGGAGGTTTGACAGGAACGGTTCATTTTTCTGACACTGCAACAACTAACCATTATGCTCAAACAGCGTCCTAATGAATTCAGCGGCATCATGATGATTTGGGCACATCGATGCACACACACAACGTCCGAATCAAGTCAGCAGCGTCAGGATGATTTTCGCTGCAGCATGAAGATACCACAGCCACAAACCAATATGCGTTACATATAAGCACGCACAACATCCTAATGAACCCAGCATCATCACCACGATACCACATCCACCAACAGCGTTCTCATGAATTCGGCAGCGTTCTCATGAATTTGCATCGTGATGATACCGCAGCCACGAACACCCTGACTGCACGCAGCCGTCCATCTTGCTAAACACTTTCCGCTCTTGGAAGGGCTGCCCGTTTTCAGATCCCCCGCTAAAGGTGACTCACTTTTTGTGGGCTAAATTCGGAAACTACCACTAAACACTAAAAGGATCTAAAAAGCTAAGTTGAACCAGATGGCTGGGAGCCACCAAGAGAAGGGTTTTTAAATGGATGTTTTGTTTGTATTGTTTTTGCTTCCCACTTGCGTTTTTTTCTTTTCTGTGGACCGGCTGCTTTTCGTTTCTTTTTCTTGGGGGAGGGGGTTTCGGGGGGGTTTTGCAGCTTGCTCCCCGCGGGGAGACTTTTTCCCAAAGGCAGCCGGGGGAAGAAGGAAGAAGGCGAGGCGCAGGATGGTGAAGAGGTCCACGACGGAGGACGGCTGCTTCCAGAAGCTCCACCAGTTGGAAATCCCTGGCAGCAGGCGGGATGGATCCGGGGAGCTGATGTCCGTGGGCTCTTGAAAAAACATGGGGGATGGTGGTGGTGGCAAAACCGGAAAAAAAAGAAAAAAAAGAAGAAGAAAAAAAACGCCGGAGAAAACGGGAAGAAAAAAAACGCCGGAAAGAAAACCCGCGGCCAAATGAAGTTGAGGTGTCCATTTTGGGTACATATTGTTGGACCCACGGCCAAATGCTGTCTCCCGTTTTGCACGGGGTGACTCCTTTACCCCCCTTTTTCTAGGGGTACCTTCCCCATTCTAAACCCAGGGATCCGAATCTTTCTAGAAAACTCCTGGAAACCCGGAAAACCCGACGGTCGAAAAGAACGATGGTTCGAACGGAGAATCAACCCTTGGACTTTTACCCCTTTTTCACGGAAACACTTGGTGCTTATAAAGTGCTATAAAGTGGCTTCCAGGCTATGCCAAAAGCCACTGCCAAAGGGCTTGGCTTCCCTTTGAAACCAAGAACTCTCAAAAAAGCTCCCTTCGCCTCAAGAAAAGGACGAGCACACATCCACCAAGGACTTCAAGGTCCTCGGATCGACTCCCCGGCATCAAATTCGTTCTTGACCCGAGAAGAAAATTCCACCAAGGACCTTCGCAGGCCCAGGGATCTCGAAGGCCTCCTACGGGTCTCAACTGGCTCAGGTAATCCCAACTCAACTAGGCCCTCCAGTGAGGTTAGCAGGGCACCAACTTTTTTCAGCCTATTTTAGGGGAGCCCTCCCCAATAACCCCAACAAAAGGGGGGTAGCACGGGCACCTAGCAGGACCTAGAAGGGCTTCTCCCTTCCTGAGTGGACTGGCCAAAAGAGTGACCCAACTTTTCATTTGCCTTTCCGAAAAGTGCCTCGAGTCCGAAATGGGACTTGGGAAGTGAGGCTTCTTATATAGCATGAATCTTAATAGGAGAACCACCGCAAAAGTACTTGGTGGACATAAATGCCTCACCATGATGTCCACCAACGGGTCCTCTTTTCAAAATTCATACCCACATGCAGCGAAAATGTGACTAACGTCCGAAACGGAACTCGGGGAAGTGAGGCTTCCTCTCTTGGCACCACCTCAAAAGTGACTGGTGGACATAAATGCCTCACCATGATGTCCACCAACGGGTCCTCTTTTCAAAATTCATACCCACATGCAGCGAAAATGTGACTAACGTCCGAAACGGAACTCGGGAAGTGAGGCCAAAACATGACGAAATCCCCCACCATGATGTCCATGAAAGGCTCCTCTTTCTAAAATCCATACCCAGATGCAGCCAAAAAGTGACTAAAGTGACTACAGTGACCCATGAAATGGTCCTTTATTATTATTATTATTAAAACAAAAAAAATGGCACCTTCTTGGCCTCCCACACCTCCGATATCGACTTCGTGGCAAACCCGTCCACCCCCGGCACCCGGCAAACCCGGCGGGCGCGCAGGTGAAGCGGATGTGGCCACTGGGCTGGCGCTGCGGCAGCTCCTGCGCCTCCTGAAGTCGCTCTTTGGAGGTCCTTTGTACCCTCCATTTGCCACCAATCCACTGGAAGAAAGAAACATATTGCCAGGAGTCCCTTCAAAACCAACAGGGGAGAAGTTTAAATATACATATATATATATATATGTATGTATATGCCCTGGGTCAAAAGCCGAATCGTACGCCAAAATCAACTGGAAAAATAAGCCGGGGCTGCCCTCAGATCCCCCGCTAAAGTGAGTGGGTCTGAAAGAAATAAACCTACTGTGGATGGACGAAATCCATTTCGCACCACCGGGGAAAAAAAACTGGAAGGATTCGATTCCCCTGTAAAAACCAACGAACAATGGCTTCCAATGGCATCCAGTTCTCATTCGCCACCAAGAAGTCTCGGTTGCGTTCTGCTCGCCTGCTAAAAGTTTAACTTTTGGTGGTTTAATACGGAAAACTCATGAGTAACATCATCCAAGCAACATGCATAAAAGGAATAACATATTGCCAGTAGTGATAGATTCTCTTCAAAATCAACACAAAAACAGGGGAAACACATTTGTTGTGGGGGTGTTCCATTTGCTTAATGCTGTGGATGGTTGCGAAATCCGCTTCGCACCACTTTGAAACCATGGGAAACCATTGTTGGTTGGTATTTACAGGGGGATCATCATTGCAGGGTTTCTTAGGTGCTGCATGATTTCGTCCATCCACAGTACCACTGGAAAATTAAATGTATTGCCAGTAGTGATGGATTCCCCTCAAAACCAACAGGGGATTGTTTAATACGTATATATATATATATATTCTCCAGCAAATGGCAGACATTTTAATGAGTATGCTGACAGCGCCCGGGCTTGGTGAAGGAGGGATGGTACCAATCGAACGAACGTCCGAACCACCAACCACTACCAATCAGCCACCAAAGTCAAGCCAACAAGTCAGCTCGCAAGTCAACCTATCAACCAGCCAGCCAGCCAGCCAGCCAACCAACCCAGCCTGCCTGCAAACCAATTAATCCCCGAAAACCCACGACAATCCGAGCAGTGTCAAGTGTCTTCTTTGGCAGCGCTATCCAATGATTGAAGAGCAAGGCCCAATCACAAGCCTTGGTAAACTAAAAAACGTACTCGAAACTCCTAATAAGCAGACTGCAGGGGTGCAATCCGCGAACTCGATCCCGGATGCCTTCACTTGTCAAAAACTGCACTTCCTGCTCCCAGTTTTCCGGGCGGGGTACGAAGTAGTCAGCGCATCGCTGTGTGGCAGTTTCTCGGTTGCTTTCTGCCCCCCTGCGAAAGTGAATAACTTTTAGTGGTCTAACGGTCTAATACGGAAAACCCATGAGTTGGCAAAAAAGTGAAAGTCCTAACATCCAGGCAAAATGCACCAAAGGTTTTTCTTGTCTCATCTGCGTAGCTCTCAAAAAGAATCCACCCCGTTGCTCTGCCCTTCGCTGGAACTCGATGAAAAATCGGGTCATGATGTTGACGGTTTCTGGGAGTTATCAAAGTCAGAAAATGGTTGGCTATTTCCCTTCGGCCCACCACTTAGGGGGTGACTTTGATCATGGAAAAATATAAAGCCAGTGAAACATCGGCAGGCCTGAGCCAAACGCGCAGATCCCGGCCTGGTATCTCCCCTTGCAGTCGAAGAGCAGGTTCAACTCGGCAAGGCGAAGATTCGATGATTCGATGATCGCTCGGGGGCGAGGAGTACGGCGGCCGAAACGAGGCGTTTTTAATGACGAAGACTGCTACTTTTGGTTAAATCAAAATACTTTGATGGTGGAATCAACATGATAACCAAACAAGAAGGAAAGTGATAGGCCGTCCTTGTCTCACCTATCTAAGGCTCTCACCTAATGGTCTTCTATCTGGGACCTTAGGTGAACTCCGTCTATCCAAGTCCTCAATTTCGAGGCCAACTGTTCTCAATTGGGCCGCCTGAGCATGCTAGTCGAAAGGACGAAACCAAGTGACATATTTAACAAGCGGAACTTGACCAAAAGGCAACCACGCGGAATCAACCCGCAAAACGAAACCAACAGCAAACAAAGAGGAATCAAACGGAATCCGAAAAGAACCCGAAAGTCTCACAGAATTTCAATTCAATAAAAGCCACGCGTTGTTTCACCCATGCGCATCCGCCGAACAAACGGTATCTGCTGCTATTGCTACTGGAGCTGCCGGCTACGGCCATTTCTTGCTTTGAAGTCTCTGTTTCAAACCATAGGGGGCCTTTGAGAAAAATCGATGGCCATGCCAAACGGAACAAAACCCATCTAAACCAGTGGAACCCATCTATGTTTAACCAAACTAACCTAAAACGGACGCCTACGTTTCAAACATAGACTAGGTCCAGTAGAGAGGCTAGAATAAGGCTACCCATACTTTTTTTTCCGGTTTGTCCATTTCAGTAGGGTTGAACCCTCCCAGCCAAAAAAGGAAGGGTTAAAAGGGGCCTAGGCCGGCTGAGGGACCCAGAGGCGGGTGCCAAGGGCTCCGGGCCAGAAATCTCTGCTGCAACAGCTTGGCGCGGGCGAAGGGGGCCGTGAGCATCCTGCGGCGTCGCTGTCCGCTCAGGGATTTGGAGCTCAACGGTGGCTTCCCTGGTGGTTTGCCCGGTGGCTTCCCTTGAAACCAAGGTGAAAAAGACGACCTGGAGTCTCCATGACCCTTTAAAAATGGGGTCATTGCCCAAAATAATGGGGGCAATGACCCATCTTCAAAGGGTCATGGAGACTCTAGGTACCTTCCAAACAAAACAGCCCACTTGTCGCCGTTTGTCGCTTTCGTGGGGCGATTCACACACCAGGGGGTTGTGGAAACAGTGACCCGTTCGGTAGAAAATAACTGCAACCATTTCCTTTGGGGTCGATTCCACTCTTACGCCCCAGACCCACCGAGGCAAAAGTGGAACTGGAATGATTGGGTGGCAAAGGTTTCTCGCAACGGGAAAAATGGGCCAGCTGTGATACTGCACTGGTCCCCATCCATGACTGCATGACCACATAGCCCATTTCACGAGAGTTCACACCGGACATGGCCACCATGTTCCAGAGATCCCACATGTTTTGCTTCCGAGGTATATTTGGACGTCTGGCAAAGGGTCAGTTGGACGGTCTAGGGAAACGAAAACATGTTCGAGAACTTCAGTAGCACGCTTTCCGAGGTAACCTTCCAGATGGCAGAAGGGATACACCACTCCGGGCGCCGGGGTTGCTTGAGCAACTCCGCAAGAAGAAACCAAGTCGAATAAGTCTTGACATCGCCGAAGGTTTTAGCCGTACAAGCCAATTATCTACCTCAAGGTCCCCAACTCCATTTATCTAGCATTCAACCATAGATGGGAAAATGGGTTGCATCACTGGAGATCTCCATCGAAATCCCCCCAATTCCATTTCCCGGGCCATCTCCTTGTACCCCAAGGCTCCCGAAGGCAACCACGTCTCCCCAAATGCCAATCCACGGATGAATGGGGCGGGAAAATGGGGGAAACCCGAAACCGCGCATAAATGCCTGAGTGGGGCGGGATAAATTTTAAATGGGAAAAAGCGACCAGGCCGTGATCTACAGCTATGAAACTGGAGCTTTTGCCGGACTCGGGCATTTGTTTGTCCAGCAGGGTTGAACAGACTTACCCAACAACAGGGATATGCGAAAGTATGGCGGTTGAGGCTACCCTTCATAGCTGTCAAGCAGATCTCTTTCGCGGTCAGGTTTTGGCGGATTGCAAAACACCCTGCGCTCTGCCTGGTGAGGAACTCTACGGTGAAGATGATGACGCACACTTCATCCACCACCTGAAGTTGGAAAAGCAGACTGAATCTCTCCTGTCAAACCTGAACACAGACTCCGGAGGGGTCCCTCCAAGTGATTCGGGTAAGCTCACGACAAACGCCAGGATACAGAAACGTCCGCTCGTTCCAACCGGAGCCAAACAAAAACACCTGCAATCATGACGCTCCCATGCTCGGCTTGAGACCTACTTCAAACAGGGGATTGAAGTAGACGAACCAGAGCTCCCTTTTCAGGAGAGGACCATGGCGCTTCAACCCACTTTTGCTTGGCCGAGCTCAGATCTTGCCATGAAAGGCAGGGGATACACCAACCTCTTTCCATCGCCGCCAAACAACTTTGGCCGGATGCACCCATGTTTGGAAAAGGAACATGTTTGGTAGGTGCGATCCTCTTGGCAACCCCCTTGTGGTTGGGTTTCAAAGGAAACACACTTTCATGTCAACAGATGTTTGGGTCACCTCACCCAGGCCACAATTTTGGCCCATGGCAAAACTTGTTCGGTATTTGAAGTGAAACAATGGAAGTCCTTTCCCAAACAAAGCCGTCAGAACGTTGAACTGGTCCACTTCTCGGTTGCTTTCTGCTCCCCTGCTACAAGTGAATAACTTGTAGTGGTTTAGTACGGAAGACCCATGAGTTGGCAAAAAGTTAAAGTCCTAACAGCCCTTGGCAAAATGCACCAAAGACTTAATGGGTCTGAGTTTTGTTGGGCTGCCTTGAGTCCCAATGAATCCCAAGGAAATGGTTTGGGATCTCCGGAGCTGGCTGCTCCAAAGGGACAGTTGGCCTATCCTATTTTTCCAGACCTCCCTATGGGGAAGCCACAAAGGAGACCAGTTCCTTGAGTAACCCCCAGGTAAGGATCTTGCGGATTACCTTTCAACAGCCCAGAAATGGCGGTATGCCCTGCTTTCCCTCCCCAAAGATTCTGCTTCTTCAACCAACAGATTCCCACCTTCGTTGAACAAGCCCCCGATTCACGAACGTCACCTGGGATTCTCTTTCTGGACCCCCCCCCCCCCGTCAAGTTCCAAGTTCATTGGAAGGGTCAACCCAGGCGATCGGTGCGATACGTAGGGAATGACCCAGTCCGGGTTTTCATGAATGAGGAAGGGGATTCCCTTACAGGACCACCAAAGGAGAGTTCGGAGTTCCGAGCCATTCCAACTCTCATTCCAACTCTCGCAAGTGATCCGTAAAGCCACCAGGCCCGGCTTGGCGCCGAACCCCCCAGTCCCCCCATCCCAGTCCAACGGCCTCCATGACTCTCGGGCATTTTCTGGTTTGAAGCATTCTCCATCTGGATCAGTGCTGTCTCCGGTCAAGTGAGTCACACTCAAAAAACCCGGGTGATCGGAAGCAAGGCCCTCAGATCCCGGCCACCCCCCGCTCCAATCAGAGCGTTCCCTCGGAGAGCCCTGGGAAGTTCCAGCCGTGCGGCCCGCATCCACTCCAGCGGCTCCGGCTCGCAGGTCTCGCAGGGCACCACCGTGCAGCTGGGCACCGTGCCGGCCTAGCGAGCCAGGCTCGGGTGTTGAGACGGGCGCGAAACGGCGGAAGAGCCGCGCGGGCGGCTTGGACGAAAGGAAGACACAAAACCGGGGGGAGGGGGAGGAACACAAAAACATCGGTGGAAATGGGGGTTGGTATGGGGTTGGTGGGTTGGAGGGAAAAAACATATATATATATATATATATATAATTTCAAAAACCTTAACAAAAACAGCTTTTGGTCGGGGGGTTGGAAACTCGGTGGCGATATGGATCCCGAAACGTATCAGCCCCTCTCGAAGAGGGATGCCCAGGGGGTCGGTGGTGAAACCTGAGGACCTGAAACGTGAACAAACCGCCAATCCTGAAAGCTGATAAGAGGGTTGAGAAGAACCCGCCAATGACAGCTGATAAGAGGGCCTGATTTGAAGACTCCTTTCCTTTTGGGGGAGTTTTTGGTTTGCTTCCTTCGCTATGGCTTGGTTTGTGATATCCCTGGACTTGGTTCGGCGATTTGCTGATGGAAACCTTTGAAGGGCGGGGAACCACCAAGCCCCCGAGGGTTCGCAACGAGCCGTCAATTGGGTTCTGGTCGCCACGATGACTCGATGCCAGCGTTGCCTCTGTGCATTGCCCGGTTTTCGGGCCTTCAACCTTCGTCTTAACCCAGCGAGAGCTTGCAACAAGCAAAACACATATGAGCCATTATAGTACAAAAATCCTGCGAACCCATGGCTGAAGGAGTGTCCCTAGCCTTCATCTACCCGTCCAGCTGGTCCCTGAGGCCCTGAGGCCCTGAGGCGACGGCCATCCATACAGCGATGCTGACAACGATGGCGAACACCATCACTCCGCTCCTGGCGCTCACTCCGACTCTCCGCGAGCGGGAAAAAATGGTCGCGCGAGGATCTGCCGAGAAACATGCCACGACATGGCGGCCGGACGCCTTTTTGATCTGGTCAAAAGACCGTGATCCACACACCGAGCAACCCCAGGACTCTGAGAAGCATCATGAGCCCTGGCCCACAACTGTTTACCGCGCAGCACAGGATTACCAGGATCGAACCATAGCCTTGGTTGACGTTGAAAGGGGAGCAAAAAAAAATTGTTTAGCAGTTAAGGGGGGATTTCTCACTCAACCACAACAAGCAAAAATGTAAAATGTTTCCCAACAACAACCATGTAACTGTCTCTGACCGTCTGCCAGAGAACGTCTGGAACTATTCCACTTGAAGGCTAACAGGTCCATCTCGCAGAAAAAAATCAACTCGAACTGCTCATGGCAATACCGATTTCCAGGAGGGCAAGCGCATGACACGCAACTCAACTTCTGCTGGTGGCCCTCTTGTTGCAGGAAGATCGAATGGACCCGCTGTCAACTTTTGCTCGGGGCACCGTTTCCGAACCTCGTCCATGGCGACGCACAGCATAGGGAAAGTGGAACTTCGAAAGGACACCGCATGACCCAGTTGACTAGAAGTCTTAGGCATGCTTCAAGCTTTTTCTTTCCAAGTCTCAGCAAAGTTGAAATCCGTGGCCGTAGGGAGGTCTATGGGTCTCTCTATCAAAGCCTTGCCTTGATACAAGGAGAACTTTGGTCCGTCAAGAGACAGTGGCCCGTTCCAATGTTGGTGCGGGTTGAGAGGCTTCAGTTCAGGCTAGTCAAAGCATGTGAGCTGTCCCCTTGAAAGCCATGACGCGTGGGGAAAAAAGGAAACCACCAGTGGGATGGCTTTTCTTGGGGTCATTCCAATTCTCATTCCCTGCCGAGACCGCACAGAAAGAAAATGCTGATTCAAGGCCCAGCAAGTGATGCACTTCAATGCACTTCAATGGCCCAAAGGAAACTTATAGGCTTCAGTGTGTCCGCTTGCTCGAAAGCAGTATAGCAGCTGACTCTATTACTAGAAGCCAGATCAACATTGTCCGTTGCTCCTACAATACCTCCATTTGCTTAAGTCCCCTGAAAAAGAACCACATTCCAGCAAGAATTGGAAAAAAAAGAAGAAACAAAGGGGGGGGGGGGGGGAAACCGGGAAAATTGCACCTACCCTGCCACCTTTTTCACATGGAACCTGACAGTGGCCCGGTCCCTTTAAAAGGAAAATGGTCCAAGCCTCCCCCCGAACGTCAGGTTCCATGTGGACAAAAAGGGTGGGCGGGGGTATTCTAGGTTCCATGTGAAAAAGGCGGGAGGGCAGGTTTCACTTTCCCGTCGCTTCTCTTTTTTTCCCTGTTGATGTTGTAAAAGAACGCTTTCTTTTTTTCACTTTTCCCGTTGACCATGTGTAGGTTTCACTTTCCCGTTGATTTTTCTGTTCTAACAATCCTTACCGGGCTTTTGTCATGTTGTTTCGTTCAGGTTTAACTTAAGCAACTGCAAGACAATATTTTTTGATTTTCCGGCGAGATGGCTTCAACGCGCCAGCGCCGCACGAAGCGCGAGAAGAGGTTGGAGGTGCCGCCCACGTCCACCGTAAAGTAGATCCGCTCTGCGATGTTCATCCTGCCCAACCAATACTGGGTTTAACTTTTAGTGGGTTGAATGGAAACTACCACTAAACACTAAAAGTCTAAAAAAGCTAAGGAACCGGATGGCTGGGAGCCACCAAGAATAGAAATCATCGGCGATTCTAGAAAACGGCTTGGATTTGGATGCCTTTTTCGTGGATTTCACAAAGGTTCTTCCCTCTCTGATTCCTTTGTTAGCACTCTTTCAGTATCCTACAGGTGGCTCCACAGATTCGGTTTCCACATCCAAAACGTTTTTCTAGAGTGATGTCAGGGCCCTTGGTAGAGACGGTATGGGCCAAATTATTAAACCAGGGGACCAGGCAGAAGTCCTCGGTTCCATTTGCCCGCGTTCTATGTTGGATGCCGTTTTGCACCCACAGCCACATGAGTATCCATTTAAGGGATGTTTTTGTCTTGAAAAAGGGGGGACTCCTTCTCTGAATCTGGCGACAAATGGAAGAATGGGGGTGCTTCGGAGGCAATGGGGTGTAGAAAGATGGTGATGGAATCCTGCACCAGTTGATAGGTAGTTTCTCCCAGCAATCATAGAGGCTTCATCCATCCCGACAGGTGCCAAGGAGTACGGATATCCACAGCATGGCCTGAGAATGGAAAATCGAAAAGGGCTATCTTGGCCCACCCCCTCGTTTGGTTCTGAGGTTCGCTCACCGAAAAACAACTCTGATGCCACGATGAGTTGGCTTTACACGAAGACTGGGAATGTCGTTGATATGAGTGGCGCGTTTTTCTTGAGGGCACCCCTTTCTTGTGGTTTGAAGAGGGAAACCAAAAGGAAACAAAAAGAGAACAGTTTTGGGGGGGTCCCCCAAAAAAAAGGGTCCACCCATATGCATTTGAGGGCCAAAGAAAGCAACCTTTTGAGTCATGCGGATGGACAAGGCTGATTTCGACCACTATACATGAGATAAGCCACCCAAGCGGTGCAAAGCGGATTTTGCCCATGTAGCCAATACTGGTCTGGCCGAGCCGCTCTTGCAGCAGGTTATCTAAAAAATCATCCACTCTAACAGCAACAAAACCTAGGTCCTCCAGTAGAGAAGTTAGAATAAGGCTACTCTTTTTCCTGCAGTCTATTTTAGTAGGGGAACCCTCCCCCAAAAAAGGGTAACATAACAGGGCACTATTGGGGGACCTAGGGGTTACCTAAAAAAACACCAACTCTGACAGCAACAAAATGGAGGGGAAATCGTCCCAGGTTGAGGCACAGGTGGATGTTCAGTGTAAGCAAGCTGAAATTCGGGCAACGCTATCAAGGCAGTCACAGCATCAGTTCGGTGGGGAATATCGCTGGTAGTAGTGTCTCATCATGGGATCTTGCTTGAACTCTGAAGCCAATCTATGATGGCTGCTGAGCACCAAACGATGCTCACAGCTCATCCAACCTACGTCACCACGTTAGCTACTTGTGTGTTAGGCGAGCTGAGGGCTGTTTGAAGACACGGGCCACGAGCGAGCTCGATGACTCGATTGAGAAGTCCCAGTCCTTCGGCCAAGCTTCTGAAACTTAAAAAATGGTTGGTCATTACCCAAAATAATGGGGTCAATGACCCACTTTTCAAGGGTCATGGAGACTCTAGGTATGTTTAAACATGTACCCTCCCACAACTAACATGGAAGTGCACAAACCCCCTTTCTACTGGGAAAGTAGTCTTTCTACAGGGGTCTGTGCACTTCCATGTTAGTCGGTGGGAGGGTAAGGAGAAATCAATCTGGGACCCCAGCTACCCCTGGCCTCATTGTGCTACCATGATCAAAGTCACCCCCAACTCTGGCTGATGGTTCAAAGAACAGAGCCAACCCTCATAGGTGGCCTTTTTGGAAAATACATGGCCCTGGTAGTTCATGGAATCACCAGGTAAACCAGGGCCATCAATTTTTAAACCAAATCAACCAAAAAGGACGCCTATGCCAACCCTTTTCTGACTTTACCCCCCGAAGCAGCGCCCAGGTAACAAGCCCGGCCATGACCATCATTTGTTTCCCTCGGGTGCTTACCCCTTTTACATACCCCTTGGACAAGTGAACCCAAAAGCCCTGCTGATGTTTATATTTAATTTTGCCCAAAAGGGGTATATACCCTTAAGTGGGATGGAAACCACGGGAGCCAAGGGCTATGAACAAGGGCTATGTACTTCCACTTAGATTCCCTCCGATCCCAATCCATCCCCTTGTCCCCGAATGCAAGACGTGCGCGTTCGCCTCACATGGAAGGCCTGGAGGAGGGACTTGTCCTCAGACACATTCCATTGGTCTCAAAATGATATGGCCATGGGGCAAATGCCAAATCGTAACCCCCCTGAACATCAACCAATCCCAACCACTAAATTAGGAAACCTAAAATGGGTGAACTCACCTATCCCAAAATCCAATCCAACCACTAAATTAGGAAACCTAAAATGGGTGAACTCACCTACCCCAAAATCCAATCCAACCACTAAATTAGGAAACCTAAAATGGGTGCATTCACCAATCCCAGCCAAAATGGGATCCACCATAACGGTTTTGACAACCACAGCCTCGGTCTCAAAACTGGGAAGCCCGTTTTGGTCACCCAGACTTGCTGGATGCCTTGGGTGTTCGTGCCTAGTTTAGTAAGTTGTTGGTAACACGGGTTGTTTCACCCCACTGACGGGTTCCCCCAAGTGGAGTTAAACCTGTCATTGGGTTCAGGCTGCACCACTTACCTTCACCTTCACGTTCTTTGCCACGTCCTTCGGGGCAGAGACACGTGTAGCCAACGTGCTCCTACAATGTTGGATGAAGCCGCGGCAAAGCCGCTCCGTCCGGAACAAAAGACCCCCACCCCAGGGGAAAGAAATAAGTGAAACCATTCCAGGTCAAGGAAAAGGCTGCACCACTAAGTACGGAAACCCAAGGGAAACTACGCCTGGAGTGGCACCCATATGGAACCTACATGCCCTGGCCCATAGCTTCATCTAGGACACGGAACCCAAAAACAAATTTCGAATAGTCCCTTCTTTCGGACGAACAGGGCCCGCCACCCTCCCAAGAGAAAAACGTCTGCGCCTGCGGCTCTAGGTGCATCGAGCGCGTCTTTGTGTATCTTCTGCAGACAAATGTGTGTGTGTGTGTGCGCCCTTAAAATTTATGTTTTGCGTGCTCGCAACAGCCACGGCCAATGTGCGCTGTCAGGCTCAAAAATGGGAGTCCAAAATGGAACCCTGGTAAATCGAAAGGTAGACTAATGGCTCAATGACACCGCTTGCACACTCAGGCCGAAGCGTTCCATTTCTTCTTGGTGAAATCCGTGGGCGACGCGTCGAGCATTTCCACGATCGACGCCCTGGCGCGGATTGAAGCACAACAACAACCGGGACGACGCCGGCTTTCGGGAACCTGGTCCCTCCGTGCTGGTCCTTACACGCGACACCCACAAATGAGTCATAATCACAACCCAGTACTAAAATGGTCTACCCAGAACCATGCTTCAAGAATTAAGAAGGCGGATGTCCCTTACTAACCTTCATCTACCCGAATCGGTTTTGAGCAAGTGGCTCAAAGGACGATTGCGCTGGATTGACCGCAACGCAACTTACAGTATTGCCAGCCGCCAAGCCGGCCTCTCTGAAAGAGAGCTGCACACAAAAAATGAGCCACAGCCTGGTTTTCCCAAAGTGGCATCACAGAAAGAGGTGTTCTTATTAAACAGTTATACCAGCATAGACCCAGATAGCAAGCGTGGTCTCAGCCAACACACTAAAGACACGAGCCACAGCCAATGATTTAATGGATTTGCTTAACCCGCCGCCTTTCAAGTGGCTTATGATAGCCGGAAGAAAGCACTCCGTGAAGACTGCAGGAAGACTGCGGCTCCGCAGCAGCTGCGCAACTCTAAGTCTCGGCCTGTTGCAGCACCCTGCAGCACCCGGCGCAACTCTGAGTCCCAGCCTGCAGCAGCACCCTGCAGCAGCACCCGGCGCAACTCTGAGTCCCACCCTGCAGCAGCACCCTGCAACAACCCTTGCAACAGCACCTGGCCGGAATTCTGAGTCTCACCCACCCCTCCTTTACTTGAAGTTAGAACCCCTATAGCTTTCAGCTATATTTGGGAGTCTCCCCCAGGGCCCCATGTCCCTCTCAAACCGCCAGTTCCTTTGGTTCCCCAGGTGGTTCGCTTTGTTTTGCTGATGCGCGTTTCCGCGCATCGCGCGGTTTCATCCGCCTCAAACTTGTGAAGGCTGGGCGTTCTGCAATTTCAAGGCGAGATTTCTAGGGCCTCCAGTAGAGAGGTTAGAATAAAGGTACCCTTTTTCTGTAGTCTATTTTAGTAGGGGAACCCTCCCCCAAAAAGGGTTTAAGGGCACTACTGGGGGACCAAGATTGCTTTCATTGGGTTGTGCTTCTCTTCGCAAATCCTAGAACCCCCCCCCTTCAAGACTCCTCTTTTTGGGGGCCCCTTTTTGAGGCCCCGGCTCCTTCTGTTCACTTGGGTGGCCATTTTGCAGGGCGCTCCCTCCATTTTTTGCGCTTTTTGTTTGTTTGTTTCTCCGGGACACCTAAATGCACACCACCGTTTTGTGGGCTCCCTGCTCGCCGGTGCTCAGTGTTGAATGATTCAGGGTGTTGGGAAGGAACCATTCGGGAATCCCTTGAAGGAAACCCGGTCATCCCATGTCTCATTCCCTGCTGAGAACCCGCAAGCCAACCAACAAGAAAACACAATTTCGTCGCCCTCCCCCTTTTGCGGAGTTTGGGCGCCTCGTCTTTCTGAATGCCACCCCCCGTTAAAAAAAGAGAAGTTTAACACAAAAAAGGAGAAGAAACAAAAGCGCCAAATGTGCCTGCCAACCCCCCGCCCCCCCCCCCCTCCACCCAAAGCCAAAGACCGAAAGGCCGAAAGACCTGAGGCGCCCAGACCGCACCTCTCAAGCTCCGAGCGGTGCACGTGGAAGTGGACGTCGAAGAAGCGGAGCGTCGCCAGGATCTGGGGTCCACATGGCTGTGGCTCAAAAAACCGGAATTCCAAAATAGAACCCTGCTAAGTGGAAATATGGACCAAAACCTGCGTAACCCCTCCTGTTCAATTTTGAGCCACGCCCACATCCGGATCCGTCGAGGGACGGTTTGTTGCCCCGCTGGAACTTTTTCGGTCCGCTTCTCGGCTATTGCAAGCTGACTGGCTGATTGTTGTCTCGCTTGCTCGGAGAAAAAAAAACGCGAAACCCAACCCGGTTCAGAGAAAACTCCCCCCGAAAAAATCAAAACAACCCAAAACAAAAACCACCACCACCACCCCAAAAAAAAACACACACACACACACACCAAACTCCCCCAACAAGCGCTCTCCCTTCACCGGAGTCTGAGAACCCTTCGATTTGGTCCAAGGGCTCTCACTCCAATTTCGAAGCTCTGCGACGGAAAAAAAAAAAGGTTCAAAATATGTCCGGTGATAGATTCCCTTTAAAACCAAGACGGGAAAATAACAACTTACGAAAGGCAAATGGAAGGAAGCATTCTGATGGAAAGGCACAAATTCTGTGCCACGTGACCGAACGGGGGGGTCCAACCATGTTCGTGGTTTTTCTGTTTGGGTGCCCCATGTGAAAATATCGGAAATGGGTGGTTTCCATTTGGTGTCCCTAAAAATCAACCCCAACCAGTGTACGTCCCAAAGGTTAGATGGGAAGCAAAATGCAAACAAGGACCGGGGTCTGCTATTTCGCTGGGAAACACAACCAGGTATGTGTCAAGACCGGCTGTGCCTCTGCCGCGTTTTGGCTCACAGGAGACTCACGCCCAAGGCGCGCCCTTTGGACATGCAAGTTGTCACACATGCGGGCTGAAAGGAGCGCAACGCTTGTCAAGAACCACCTTCATGGGAAGCTAAATGCTCGAGCATCTCCCAGGAATCGAAACTTTGGCTGCTTGGCCCGATAGGTGAAAATCAACGTTTACTATTTGCATGACTGAATCAGTGGAGAAACTAGACACCTGGGGCAAATGTCATCAGAGCAAGCGTGCTCCAAGTCGAGGGTTCCCGGCATTTGCCTGTGAAAAAGAGCTCAAAAGGAACCCCCGATGGTTGCAAACTATGTACAAGCCCTCACAAAATCTTTACATCCGAAACAATTAGATGGGTTCCACTAGTTTAGATGGGGTTTGTTCCATTCAGGGCCATCAATGTTTTCAAAAGGACACCTATGGTTGGAAGATTGCGCTGAAAGTCAGGGTGTAACGAACTCTCTAAGTAGCGAACTGACTAACTAGCTTGCCAGCTAACTAGCTAGCAAACTAAATAGATTAACAAACTAAATAGAGAACCAACTAACTAAGTAGAAAACTGCACAGATAAAGAACCAGATAAATGTATTCATACACATAGTATGGTACCAACCCCGGCTGATAGTGCCTAATTTTAGCAATCTTGCACGGGACTTTAGTCATGAGCACCCGGGCGGAGGGATATCATAATTTTCCGCCTACGGCATTTGGATGCCTTCGAAACCGTGATGCCGCGTTCGGATCCTGGATCCAAGATCCATCCTTGGGGTATGCCGCCTGAACGTGCAATGGAATTTCTCTCTGTTCAACAGCCAACAACCAATGGCCTTCTATATATATATATATATACATCTCTATATATATATATGCAACCAAACTCAGCGATCAAAAGGACGCCTTTGCTTCCAACCCGCTGGCTGCCGCATGCTCGCGCCGGCTCGCGTCGGCTCGCGTCGGCTCGAGGCCCCCACCAAGGAGCTCCGCAGCTCCCCCGGGGAGTCGGGGGAGTAGCGGGTCTCCAGCCTCAAGTTCGGACGTCGCGCGCGTCGAACGTTGCGCGCCCCTCGAAACGCAAGAGAAGAGCTCTGTTCGGGCAGCTTCCATTTCCATTCGAAATTCCAGGGACCCTTCTTTCTAGAAGAAAAAACACCCACCAACATGGGGAAACAGCTGGTGTTCGGAAAGAACCACGGTTGAGAAGAATGGACAAGGAATCAGCCCCTAGAAAAGAACAACAACAAAAAAAGTGGACGCATGTACTGGACCTCGGCTCTTTTTTGTTCTTTGTTTTTGTGTTTGTCCTTAAAAACCGCAAAAAAGAGGTGCGGCAATTGTTTTTGGTGGCTTTCCATTGACTTGCTAATGGCATGCAAAAAACGCCCCGATTTGGTGTCCTTTCAGGGAATCCCTAGGCTCATTCCCAACACGCTGGGTCATTCCCTACTGAGCGCCAGAAACTTAACACCGCAATACGTGGGTACACTTGTAAAGAAACGCACCAACTAGGTAGTTCTTGGACCAAATCCCACCTGAAAGTGCCTTTCTTTGAGGTCCCCCCCCGCCTTTTTGGTGGGGTTCTAAAGGGGAACAAAGGGAAAACCGCCCATTTGGGAGGGGGGTTCCCCTATTTTGAGACAAACCCAATTAACGTGCCCAAAAAGAGATTCCATTTCTCAAAAGGAGGTTCCTCTTGGGTTCCATGTGAATCTGTAGGAAGCCAGACTCGACTTGGATCGGCTACCATTTCACCAAAGTGGGGGGGGTGGCGGCGGCCGGTCAAAAAAAGGGGCCTAGTATGTTGACAACCCCGCCCAAATGCGTGTGTTCTTTGAGGTA